CGAAATATCATGTCTAATATCCACACAGTACATGAACTATCAGTTTTGGCCCCATTTCTTTTCCATTTTTACAGACTGAATCGAAGGCAAATTTACAGGCAGAAATGGAGGGTCCTTAATCAACGGTTGCCACAGAAACATGGCCATATGGGTTTTGAATGACTCTTAAATAACAAATCCATTTTGCTGACTTCACCTTTGGTAAAAAGGTTAGTCTCACGAGCACATTTACTGTGCATAACAATGAGGCTACTTTGTACATGCAAATGTCATACTTGATTGTTTTTCTGGAATCCGAAGTGCCCATATTTAACCAAATTGATTGAGAATATTGAACTTTAAGTGCTTTAAACTGTGAATATTAAGCAGTCATCCGGGGTTTGTTTTGGCCAAATTTTCCCTTCATCGCTTAAAGACGTCAGCTCCTTTTCTGTTTTCATGTGGATCAGTCATGTACCAACAGCGAAAGTGAACGTCATCATACTGCCAGAGGTCCAAATTATTCACTTTTACTAAAGAGAAACGACTGGTGGGGAGGTTAACGTCAGGCGAAAGCCAAGCTTGAGAAAATGGGACCTTCACGGTAACTTCAGACTGTATGGGAACTGAACTTGTGCTGTTGACATCACTCAGCATCACAAATCAGCCATCCAGCTTACCGAGCGAGCCAAAGCACATCCTGGTGACAATTATATACCTGAGGGTTTTGGTCTTCATTGTTAACTGGACAGTTGATCAGCAAGCATGCCCTCATCTGACAATAATACCAGCCTATTCCCATCAATGATTGCTGAAAGTAGATTGGAAGTGAGATTTCTCGCTGATTTCCTTCCCCTTTCTCACGCAGAGCCCCAAAGGCTGTCATACAGCATCTACCACTGCTAATTCTGTACAGTCTGGGAATCTAATCTGGGACATTTTTGGTTTTTACAGGTTAGCAAATTACAACAAATCATTAGGAAAACTTGCTGAGTCCTGAGAAACTCCTTTTTAAGCTGAAGTATATGTTTCATATAATAAACCCATCATTACAAAACAAAAACTAGTAAAATTAAAATCTGACATTTATAGCAAGATTTTCATAGACAAAGATGATTAATTAAAAGAAAGAGCTTTTTTCAGTTAAAAACTCAAGTGAACAATACATGAAGAGATAATGTTAGTATAAGCAAATTTGTTCACTTTTACGTCTGGTGTTGCTTACCCTATGTAAAGACGAAGCGTTGCAATGAATGGTAAATCAGTAAAAATAACAATATTGGAGTGCGACTGCAATAGAGTGAAAACGCTGGGAGCTGAGTACGTGTGGGAGTTTAAGCAAGTGGGGTAGGGAGGCATTGCAGTCTTGTGTCTTATTCCAGGCATTTTTGCAGAGTGCTGCTTTCTGACTGATGCACTGCCAGTTAGTTCTAAGAGCAGGCCTAGGTAAATACCAGGCTTCGTTGAGGAGGGTGAGCAGCAACAAGGTAAGACCTTCATTTTACCTCCAAGTCGGCTAGTTGTTAAAGGGGCAGAGGTGGCAGTCAGTGGAGTGGGACGCTCCTTCTGTTAAGTGTGGGAAATCAGGGAGCAGTCAAGTGTCCCTGGTGACTTTATCTGGAGGAAGTGTGTCTGGCTGTAGCCAGACTGCATGGGTCAGTTGGAAGCACTGAGGATCACAGAGGAGGCAGAGGTTGATATAGATAGTAGCTTCAGGGAGGTGGTCACATCACAGGTTCAATCAGGTAGATGGGTAATCACCAGGAGAGGTAAACAGGAGTCTTGTGGCTGTTCACAGGTAAAGGGATGTCTTGCAAGTGGGGAGCTTTCAAATGCAAGATAAAGAGAGTCCCCAGGACCTGATCAAGTGTATCCCAGGGCATTGTGGGAAGCTCGGGAGAAACTGCATGGCCCCTAGCAGAAACATTTGTATCACTGACAGTCACAGGTGAGATGCTGGAACACTAGAGATGGCAAATGTTGTGCCATTATTGAAGGAAAGCTGCAAGGAAAAGCCAGGGAACTACAGATTGGTGAGCCTAACATCAATGGTGGGTATGTTGTTGGAGGGGGTTCTGAGAGACAGGATCTCCATGCATTTTAAAAGGCAAGGACTAATTAGGGATAATCAGCATAGCTTTGTGCACGAGAAATTGTGTCTTACAAATTTGATTGCGATTTCTGAAGAGGTGACCGAGAAGACAGGGCAGCGCAGTAGATGTTGTCTACATGGACCTTAGCAAGGCCTTCGTCAGGGTTCTGCATGGTAGACTGGTTTGTAAGGTTAGATTGCATGGGATCCAGGATAGCTAGTCAAGTGGATACAAAATTGGCTTGATGGTAGGAGACAGAGGGTGGTGATACAGGGTTGCTGTTCAGACTGGAGGCCTATGACCAGCAGTGTGCCACAAGGATTGGTGCTGTGTCCACTGCTATTTGTCCTTTATATGATCGATTTGGATGAGAACATAGGAGGCATGGTTAGTAAGCTTGCAGATGACACCAATATTGGTGATGTAGTGGACAGTAAAGGGGGTTATCTAAGAGTAAAACGGGGATCTTGATCAACTGGGCTAGTGGACCAAGGAATGGCAGATGGAATTTAATTAAGATGAAATGCGAGGTGTTGCACCTTGGTAAGACAAATCAGACAAGACTTATAGTTAATGGTAGGGCCCTGAAGAGTGTTGTCAAACAAAGACCTAGGGGTATGTAGCTCCTTGAAAGAAACATCACAGATGGACAGGGTAGTGAAGCCAGCACTTGGCGTGCTTGCTTTGGTCGGTCAGAACACTGAGTACAGGAGGTGGGATGTCATGTTACAGCTGTGCAAGAATTGTTAAGGCCACATTTGGAGTACTGTGTACCATTCTAGTCACCCTGCTATAGGAAGAATGTTACTAAACTGGAAAGGATGCAAAAAAGATTTACAAGGATGTTACCAAGACTGAAAGGTTTGAGTTATAAAGGAGAGGCTAGATAGACTGGGACATTTTTTCCCAAGAGCACAGGAGGCTGAGGGGTGACCATTTAGAGGTTCATAAAATCATGAGAGCCATAGATAAGATGAATAGCCAAGGTCGTTTCCCTGGGGTAGGGGAGTCCAAAACTAGAGGGCATATGTTTAATGTGAGAGGGGTAAGATGTAAAAGGGGCCGGAGGGGCAACTTTTTCCACACAGAGGGGGGTGCGTGTATGAAACGAGCTGCCAGAGGAAGTGGTAGAGGCAAGTACAATTACAATATTTAAAAGACATTTGGATTGGTACATGGATACGAAACGTTTAGAGGAATACGGGCCAGTGCAGGAAACCTGGTTGGCAATGGACGAGTTGGGCCGAAGATCTGTTTCCATGCTGTATGACTCTATCCAATTTTAAAGTAACAGGGCAATAGTTTCTCTTCTTTATTCATCGAAAGGATGTGGGCATTGCTGGCTGGGAGTCAACCACCATTGCCATGGGTCTAGAATCACATGTAGGCCAGATCAGGGAAGGAGGCAGTTTCCTTCTCTAAAGGATATTAGTGAACAAGGTGAGTTTTCCTGACAATTAATAATGCTTTCCTGGTTATCATTAGACTTTTAATTCCAGATTTTTATTGAATTCAAATTCCACCATCTGCCATGGGTGGGATCAAACCCAGGTCCCCAGAACATTACTTGGGTCTCTAAACTAATAGTCTAGCAATAATACCACTAAGCTATCACCTCGCCATAGAAGGTAATACCAGTAAAAAGAATTGGCAAAGTTGCCAATGAAGTGCTGAGATGGTAATAGCACATAAACTTACAGTTATGATTTTTTGAGCTTCTCTGTATAGATAATTTCTATAGAACACATTTCCAGGGGACTCTAACCCTTTGTTTTTGCCATTCTTATTTCTAGGTATCTCTTAAAAAAAGAGGCACTAACTCACGAACTCCAGTATATACCGATACACCCTGGAAGATCACAGAGACCAGTACTTATGAACTCTGGGCATAGGAAGGCTGGAAAAGGCCAAACTGTGTCTGATTTAATAAATTTTATCTTATTAGCAAACTATCACCAGGGGAGCAGATACAATGAATTCATGCAGCAAGACTGTGCTCAGTAAGTACTCTTTTTCAGCTCAGGTTGGGGTGGAAATATACCAGTACCTGATTAGGACCAGGCCTAGAGTAGGAATGTTAGTAATGGATCGAGTTATATTGTGCACACATATTCTCTCTACTTAAACAACCAGTTTTGTCAATCAAACAAAACAGAAAACAGCTCCTCACTAAATTTATGAAATAACACTTGTTTAAAATTCCATTTTCCTTCCAAAAGTGCTGGTCCAAATTGTCATTGTTCACATCAGACATTGTAGTTAGAGATAGTAGGTACTGCCGATGCTGGAGAATCTGAGATAACAAGGTGTAGAGCTGGATGAACACAACAGGCCAAGCAGCATCAGAGGAGCAGGAAAGCTGACGTTTTGGGTCTGGACCCTTCTTCAGAAAAATGCCATTTTTCCTGCTCCTCTGATGCTGCTTGACCTGCTGAGTTCATCCAGCTCTACACCTTGTTATCTTAGTCATTGCAGTTAGATTGTTTAACCATTGAGTAAACCATGCCAAGATGCATTTCACTGAAATGTCAGCACTTATGAACAGAGTTCACTGCTTTATAGTTAGGAGCAGGAATTATGCCGATTAGTCATTAGAAGCCTAATGACACAGGCTAATTATACTGTCTCCAACTTCAGTGGGATCAGCAAATACCAAGTCTTATACTTGAGGATTTTTTTGGTTTAAGCTGCTTTGAGAGGTGGGGAAGAAAGTTGGAATAATTCTTCCTTAACAGTAGACTATGATTGGCATACACAAATATGAGCAGCAAAAACAGCCAAATGTGAAAAGTTTGACCATGTAGCCAACAAAATTAGAAGTTCAAAGTGTCCCTTTCTTTTATATGACTAGCATATTCCCTTTACTTCCCTTACTTTGAAGGAACCAGGAAGAATAACAGAATTGGTGATGATCCCTATAACACTTACCAATTTTCGTCTTTGTTCTGGAATCCCAGAGACATCAACTGGATTCCGTTCCAACACATTCAAAAACTTCACCTCTGGGACTGCTATTGCACAGATCACATGGACCCATCTAAACAGATAGGTAAGTGCAAGCAACAAATTAGAAAGGCATTGGATTTGATAACAAATAACACCCAAACCCTGCATTAATTGAATAATTTACAAATAATTGAATATTTGTCTTTGGACCACTTAAACCAAGTTAGCATCTATTAATTGCAAACTCCAATGTTAACTGTCAATTAGAAATTAGAGGAATGATCCTGGACGTCTGCAAGGCTTAACTACTAGTACTTAACAATCAAGTATCAGGGCCTGTTTTGTACTACTCAAACTGCAGCCATTCAAAAAGACAGCTCACCATCACCACCTTAATTCTCCAAGGCAATTAGAATGGGCAAAAGAAGTTGGCTTTGCTCGTAATGTCACATCCCACAAATGTATTAAAACAGATAGGTTATTATGGCATTACAATATAAGAATGAAGACATGTGGCTTCTCGTTAGACACTGAATAAAATGATCCCAAAAGGTTCTGAGGCTTTATAAACCTCAGGAGAGATAAATCAGCCATAGACAAAGGTGCAGCACAGATTCACCAGAACAGTAGTGGATCAAAAGGGCTAACTTGTGAGGACAGGTTACATAAACAAGGTTTTATTCCCTTGAATAAGAATATTAAGGGATGATCTAACTGAGGTGTTTAATTTGATACATGAGTTTGGTAAGGTAGCTATAGAGAACTTGTTTCCTCTGTCGGGGGAGTTCAGAACAAAAGAGCACAAACTTAAAATTAGTGTACAGTCATTAAGGGCTGTTGTCCAGATACATTTCAACAATGACAATTTGTATTTATACAGCATCTTTAACATCATAAAATATACAACACAAACAATAGTGGGAAAACAAACTCTTGCTCAGAAAAATAGAGACAGATAGATTTCCATTTACTAAGGGTATCAAGGGTATACGGATTATGGAACCAAGGTAAAGAACAGTTTCACTTCAACTTCACAGAATGAATTTATCCAAGAGTGTCTTCTATTGGGTGGCTCACCCTCTGGGACAAGACAGACTGACCCCAGGGCTGCACCCCATTATTCTGACAGATCAATTTCATTCTCAGCCTGACAGCTCAGTGGAGCAGTGACAGGGTGTTTGAGTGTAAACAATTTCCTAAAGATTAGGGATTGGAATCAGGTACATTGCTCTTGCAGAGAGCTGGCACAGAAGCCTTGGGCTGAATAGTCTCCTTCTGCACTGTTGCCATTCTGTAATCACAAGAAAATAACACAATGAACGCAAACTATGACCTAATTAGTCAAGGTTGATTGAATGCTGTTGTAGCAATTTAGAAGTTTTACTATCAAGTGACAGTCCTGTCTGTCATTGATCCAGTATTGTTTAGTCAATCTAAAATTCTAGGAGTATTTCAAAGTATGTCTCAAACAACAAGTATTACTTTACCTTTTATCTGTGGTGCTTTTCAGTGCCCCACCTCTCAAATTGCACAAACAACAATCCTGAAATAAGAAACAAAATTTAAGGTTAAGAAATGGAAATTAAATAATAACAGGCAGACCTTAATCTGAATTCACATGACAGAACCTAAAACAATGAAACAAAATGGTCAAACGTTTCATTTAAAATTAAATAAACTGGCTATTACTATTTGTACATTGAGCACATCTGGTACAGAGTGGACCTTGGGAGCTTGAGAAATGTACAAGCTCAGTGTGGTGGGAGAAGGAAGTGTACCTTTGCTTTTCCTAACCTAATTGAAGCAGACAAGCTCAGATGCTAGGGATCCAGTGCGCCCAGTTTGAAGAAAAATGAAAAACATCACAGAAGTCTGGTAAGCTGATCCATTGCTGTGTGCTTAGTATAGGGACTTTGTATGTAAATAGCCTAGTTAAGGAGCCAAGACTTAGGGAAGGTCTGTAAGTAGAAAGCAGTAACATTTCAATATAGTTATCAATAATTATTTGTTTAATTAAGGAGTATATATATATCATTCAATTGCAAGTGGTATCAATATTTAATAATACAGCAATATCGTGATTAAAAGAAGCAGTTCATTTTAGATGACTGATTAAATTAACAAAATTACATTTAATGAATTAGCACACCTGCAACTGGGGGAAGAGGCATTGTGTTACAGCTGAGGAGCGTGGTAGCTTCTAGACCCAGAAGAAATCCAAGGCAAATATATCTGTAGCAGCAACTTCAACTACAGGAAGTTCAACTCAGAGTTATGGAATTGGAGCGTGAGGTGAAGACACTGCGATATGTCAGGGGCAGGGGGAGATACTTGTCCCAGAAGGCAGTTGCACCCCTTAGGATAGGGCACTCCAATTCCATTTGTAGAAAAGGACAGGAGGGTGTGACCATGAGTGAGGCAGGTAATGGGACAGAGTAAGGGGACATACTACAATACTGTAGTATAACAGCTTCAGCCATTACAGTTATCTAACAAGTTTGAGGTGCTTACTTATGTGGATGAAAGCAAGGTTTGAAGGGAGGATAAGTGGATTGACCAGGGTGCTTTGCCTCAGAATGCCTTTCAAGCAGTGAGAGTTAAAATGAATGTAATGGAGGTAGAAGCGAGGGGTTAGACACTGATCCGAAAATCAACGAGTGAGAGTCGAGAAGGTTATGTTGCCTATCTCGTGTCAGGATTTAGGTAACTGCTCAGGGTTACCAGAAACTTGGGGTGGGAGGGGAAGGATCCAGTTGGCATGATCTGTTATAGATACGGTTAGGAAACAGGCTCCGTTTGGACAGCACAAGGTGCTAAACAGCAAACTGAAGGACAGAATCTCAAAGATAATAATCTAAATTATTTCCTGAGTCATATACCAATAGGCAGAGGGAACATGAGAACACTAAAATTATATGTGGCTGACAGACTGTCATATGAGGTGTGGGTTTTGGGTGGGGCATTGGCATGCAAGAGACCCTTCTACAAAAAATTAGTGACTTTAGGATCTGCATGGCTTTTACCAATTAAGCACTGGAAGGGATCACTGGAACAACAGAGGCGAATGGAGGGAGTAACAGAGTAAGGGAAAAACAAGAAATCTTAAGCAGAAGCATGCTGAAAGGGAAACTAATGTGGTTCCAATTAGTGAAACTTGTAAAATATCTCTTTGACCATCTCCCTCAACATTTTTTCCTCCAACAGAACAACTCTCAAATGCTGGCAAAGGTTCAGTTTAGACCATGCAGTTACAAAGCAGAGCTCACAGCAGAAAATGAGCGAAAAAAAATTGGTAGAGTAGAGTAAATGAATAAAACAGTTTTAAAGCACCAGGAGAGTCCGTAGCCAGAAGAAACATGTTTAAAATGTTATTAGAATTATAGTCACAGAGTCACAAAGTACAGCACAAATAGAGGGATTGCAGTTCATTGTGTCCTCTCTGGTCACTGAACACCCATCTACTCTAATCCCTTTCCAGTGCATAGCCTTTAGCCTTGGATGGTATGCTCTTTTAAGTGCTTCTCTTCAATGCTGTGAGGGCTCATGCCTCAACCACCCTTTCATACAGCGAGGTCCGAACACCTATCATTCTCTGGGAGGAAATGTTTTCTTCAAATCCCTGCTAAACTTCCTACCTCTTACCATAAATCAATGCTCTTTGGGATACTGACCCCTCCACAAAGGGAAAAGGTTCCTTTCTAACCACCCTATCTATGTGGCTCATCATTTTTAGACCTCAGTCAGGTACCCCTCACATTTCTCTACGGCAAGGAAAACAACCCCAGCCTATGTAGTCTCCCTTCACAGGTAAACATACTAGCCTGGGCAACGCCCTGGTGAATCTCCTCTACATCCTCTCCAATGCAATTATATCTCACCTATAGTATGGTGACCAGAACTGAGCGCTGTACTCCAGCTGTTGCCTAAACAAGATCATGCTGCTTGGCCTGCTGTGTTCATCCAGCCCTGCACCTTGTTGTCTCGGATTCTCCAGCATCTGCAGTTCCTACTATCTCTTATACAACTCACTCCACTTGTACTCAATACCTTAACTAATAAAGGCAAGTAGCCCATGTACTTTAACTGCCCTCTTCACCTGCCCTGTTGCCTTCAAGGGTTTATGGAGAGAAGCAGCAAGGTCCCTCTAATTCTCAGCTTTTTGTAGTGTTCCACCATTCATTGGTAGGTCTAACAAGGCAGGGGAATACACAAAGTGCATCACCTCTCAGTTTTCAAGATTAAACTCAATTTATCACTGTTCTGACTATCTGATCAGCCCATCACATCCTCTCGCCTATTTATTACACCAATTTTCATGCCACATACATACTTAACTGATCAAACCTCCTACATTCATGTCTAGATCAGTAACATACACTACAAACAGTAAGTGACTGAGCATTGAACCCAGTGGTACGACATTGAACAGAGGTTTCCAGGCACAAAAACAACAGAAAACCAGTACCCTTGGCCTCTTGCCACAAAACCAATTTTAGATCCAATTTTTGGACCAGTCTGCATGCAACATTTCGCCGAAAGCCTTACTGAAGTCCATGAAGACTACATCAACTGCACCACCTTCACCTAAACACCTCATCACCTCCTCAAAAACTCAATCAAGTTTATTAGACATGATCTCTCCCTGACAAAGCTATTATGATGACCCTTGATGGATCCATGTCTCTCCAAGAGGAGATTAATTCAGTCCCTTGGTACTTTTTCCAGAAGTCTCCCTACCATTGATGTTAAATCTCCTGGTATAAAGTTCCCTGGTTTATCCTAGCTACCCCTCTTGAATAATGTTACTACCTTAGCTGCTCTCAGCCCTCTTTGACCTCTCCTTTGACAAAAAACACCAGAGGCAGCCCAAAGAGCAATACTTTCACATATCCAGTTGCAAAGACATGCAATATGCCAGTTGAAAGGGTGGTGGAAACAGATCTAATAATAACTTTAAAAAAGAATTGGATATATATTTGAAGTGGGAAGATTTTCAGAATGATTGGGGAAGACCAAAGGAATTGCACTAAATGATTAGTTAGCTCTTTGAAATAGAGTGCAAGGCACAACAGAATGAATGGCCATCTTTGTGCCGCTAAGGGAAAAACCTGAAAAATATGATTTCAATTAGAAAAAATATTTAATGTTTGGCTTTATGTGGAAGTTTCAAAGGGGAGAAATCACACCTCATTCTCAGTCAGCATTCCATAACAAGCTAACAGAATTTAAGGAATTTTTTTTTTCTCAGATTACTGGATACAATGAGTGGGGATTAAAAAAAACTTCTGGAACCCGTTGTCTTCTCTTGACTCATTGCTGTGTACTAAACTTATAGTCGTAGTTATTCAAGTATTTAATTTGGCAGTGACTCATAGACACTTTTCGTATCTTTAGAACTGACATTTTTGTCTTCTCAACACCACAACATGAAATTCATTATTGCTAATGAACACTTCCAATAAGCCAAACTACTCCAGAACAAGAGGTTGGATTCTTAAAATTAGGTCTAGGCTGTAAAATGAACATATTTTCATAGTTTAACATTCTTCTTTGACGAAGGAAAACTACAAACCTTGTATGGTCTGGTTTACATGTGACTCCAGACCCACAGCAATGGGATTGACTATTACCTAGCCCCTGGAATGGTTCAGAAAACCACTTCGTTGTAACAAACACTACATAAAAAGTCTGTCAAGAATAAAACCAGATGAACCACTCCGCATCAACACTGGCACTGGATAAGACAAAATCACATCATGCCCTGTCGATCTGGTGAAGTCCACTTCACTAATATGTGGGAATTGGTAGCAATACTGGGAGAGCTATCCAACAGACTCGCCAAGCAACTGCCTGACATAGGCAGAAGTTGCAGAATCATGTCCTGCAGCCAATGACCTAGGCTCCTTTATCACTTATGCTTGGTACATCCTGTTCACTGGGACAGCAGAGCTAGAGTTGACACAACGATATACAAGTGGAATGGAGTGGCCCTGGGTGCTCTGAACAGTAACCCTGGACCCCACTAAGTCTCAATGTATCAGGCAAAACAGGGGCAAGGAGAACTGCAGTCCACACTAGCCACTGCCCTGCTTCAGTTAATCATGGCTCCACATCAAAATGCATTTGGAAGAGGTGCTAAGGCAGCAGGGACACAAAATGTATTCCGATAGGGAATGTCATTGTATAACAAGATTGATTCAGTAGCACTGCTTCTGACCAGTTATGTCCTTCAGGAGTTACCTATTTGCTTGACCGAGCAGGTGGTGGGAAAATTACAGGTGTAGGATGATCAGGCATCATGGATTGCCCAGGAATGTCCCATAACGTGTGTGCCTAGACAAGACTTGTCTTTTCTCCAGATTTGTTCCGTCATTACAGGCTTAGTTTTGTAAGTGTGATGGCCCTAAAAGTGTTCTAATCTGCGTAAGGGACTTTCTACTTATATATGCTGAATGTAAGGAAGAGGGAAAATCTTCTTCATTTTGTTCTCATCAGTCTACCACAGATACATGACAGTATTGGTAGGAGTGACACTGCAGTCAT